AAAGGTTTAATTTTTATCAAATTTGGAAAAACAAAAAACCCGAAAATTTAAAAAAAAAATGGGTAAATTCAAAATTTTTACATAGAAAAAAAAGCCACTTGGGGAAAACCATGTTCTTGGATTTTTCCTGGGGGGACTGTAAAATCCGGGAGAAACTGGAAAGAAGGGTTACTAACAATTTTTTTTTTTGGGGGGGGGGGGGGAGGAGGAGGGTGGTAAACACAGTGCATTCAGTGGTCCATGTGAAAGGGGTGTCGTATTGGCTCACAAAAAAGTTTGTTGCTTGTATTCCTGTTTGCTTTATTGTTGTTGTTGTTGTCGTTTCGTTTTCGTTTCCTTTTTTTCACCGCTGCTCGTTTTTCACCTTGCTAGCTAGCATATCTCATTTTCTCACCGCCGCCATAAAATTTTCATGTTGTTCTTCGAGCGAAATTCGTCCCCTTTGTTTTTATCTCTCCCGCTAGCTCTTTCTCTGTCAGCGTAGACATCAAAGTTTAGTCGAGAAGACTCGGCTTTGCTATTGTCTTTTCTCTCTAAAAGTCCGGGTGGCCGTGCAAGTAGTAAATGTGACATCTAACATCGGCTTACATGTAGGGGTTGACGGACGGATGACGGATGGTAACGTGATAACCAAAATTTCTCGGAACTATAGGTTGCCATTTTTTCTTACCCATGGTGCTCTGCTGCGCGCGAGAGCTCCGCTTTAAGACTTTTTTCCGGAAACATTTTTGTTTTATAACCGCGTCGATTAAAAAATCTTTAATCTCAGCTAGACAGGATTTGAAACTATGGCCTCCAAAACACCCGGATGGGTGCTCTATTGATTAAGCTACGAAGAGCTGACTCATAAAAAGCAAGATCATTTACTGGGTTCATATGTATCATGTGTGATATGCGAACTGCATACTGATACAAATCATGAATTTTAAGCTCGGTAGTGCGGAGTGATAAAAATGTAATAATTGTGTCAATAACGAAATTGTCGCATCTGATTGGTTCTCAATAGCCCTTCTTTATATGGCTAAATTTGGCTGATGCAGCATCAGAACTGTCCAATAAATTTGATCTCTCTGATTAGAAGCTGCTGGTAATCAGACAGGTTAAATTGTTGGAAAGTTGAACTGCCAATAAAAAATGAGTATCAAATGTTGCTAGCTAATAAGTCCATGCTAGCAAATCAAAACCAAGAAAAAAACTGAACTTCGGTGAGTAAGTTTTCCAGCCTTAAATAAGCTTCCAGCTTAAATTTTAAGAAAATGTACTTATGAATGAAAGAGTCCAAGCAGATTGAGCTCTATTATAAAGATTGATGGTTTCTCTAAAAACTGAGAGCCATGTTTTTGCTTTGAAGCTGTTACTGAAGTGATAAAAACTTAAGCCAATAAATACTCCAGTCTCGAGATTCTCGCTTTCTGTTATTGATACGATTAATTTTTAATACGGGAGTTTGTGTAGTACACATCGGGCTCGTAATTTCTACTGAAGTGATAAAAACTTAATCCAATAAATACTCCAGTCTCGAGATTCTCGCTTTCTGTTATTGATACGATTAATTTTTAATACGGGAGTTTGTGTAGTACACATCGGGCTCGTAATTTCAAAACTCGCACAATTGCTAAGTCCGTCGAGCGAGGGTGATAAAATATAAACCGCAGGGGATTTATTGACCGCCAGCGCAAGAGGGTAGTGGTTGGGGAAGAAGAAAATAGACGGTCTGTAGACATCTTTGGGAGCAACTGAAACTTGCTTTTCCCAGGAAAAGCAACCTCTTTTAGCCGGCTTTTTCGGCGTAGAAGCGGAGAAGCAATCTAAGAAGGGTCTAAGAAGACATGCTTCAATAAACACGCGACCCGGAGTGTCATTCATGTTGTTGTTTGACTGTAAATACTTAACCAATTACATAAGCAATTTATATCTCCAAATCCATTGGTCCAATTTAATTGAAACTGTGAACGCGGAGGTGATAATGATGAGGCGTTGACATGGTGGAGGGGCTTAATAAACCTCTTTTTTCCCAAAGATGTCTACAGACCTTCTTTATTTTTCTTTCTCGCGCGCACTCTTCGCTCGCGAGCTCGCCGATGTTTTTGAAAAGAACGAATTCAAGAGAAAAATAAAACAACGTCTGTTTACAGGCTATCCGAGATTTCACTTTCACGATGTATTAGAGCAGCTGAAAACTAATTTCATACAAATTTTCGCTTCAAAAGGGTTCTTGGTTTTCTGATAGAGTACGATTGAATTTCTAAGCTTCTGCGTGACGCGGCATTTACATGACGGCCAAGAGAGCTGTCATGTAGGTTAAAAAACTCACTTATTTCAGGGAATTTTGCTATCTAAACAGTTCATGTATTAGAAAAATTATTACTTTAATGTTTATGAGTTCCTCGAAGAATAAATTCACCCTTTGTACCAAAACTCGGTAACAGTAATGTTTCTGTTGGTTTCTTTCCGCTATGTTGGTGCCCATCCGGATGGGCACCAACATGGCGTCTCCATACAAATCTCTATTAATGTTGTGAAAACATTTCTTTGGGTATCTCGTATACGAAATATTCCTCTGACCTGAATCTTGGCGAGGGTCTTTGCATATTTACCTCCTTTCGTTTCCCAGATTCTGGACTTTATCTATTGAACGGTTTTGATTTTTATTTGGATCTATTTTGAATGGCATGACACCGAAAACCAGCAGTTGGAGAGTTGATGGAGGACTGGAGAATTAACCCAAGGGACTTTTGGCCATTGGGTGTGGCTCGCTCCCTTGGTGTGATGTCGGTACAACAAGTCCACCAGAGCTAAAGCATTTCGTTTATAATAATAATAACGATGATAATACAAGCTTATTCATATTTATTCAGCAACCGATTTTAGTTTTAGAGCGACAATCGTCTCTGATAACCATAAAATATATTTTTCTTTATTTTCACATATTTAGCATTCTTTTAAACCAGCCAACGGTTAAAATAACAATGACAGCATGAAACAAGAAAATACTAACAACCACGACAGTTATCCATCAGTACAAAAATATCTAATGGTATGTGGTAATCGTTTCAGGCAGCACATTGGCAGTCTATAGGCAATTTAGCACATTTTGATTTGTATTTGGCTTGTGGAAAGCCAAACACTTCTTGACAGGCGGGGTAACTATAACCTCGATCCATCGCTCTATAACAGGCAACGTGCGAACCATGACAATGGGCCTTGTAGACATATTTCTGCCTGCAGCTATCCCACGTTCTCTCTGTGAAGTGGAAGCACGGGTTACTAGCGTCCCCATTGGTTCTATTGTGTGAAGCGTGTCTGATAGGAGATTCCTGAATGTTTTCGTCAATGTCCTCTTCGGGTTGAAGGACATCGCTTTGAGAATCTTCGTGTTGTAATTGATGAACTAAGGGGTGGTTTTGACGAAATGACACTTGCGAAAACGGTTTGGTAAATGACAGGCTGGGACCACACAGTATAATAATAAAAGAAAGGAACAATTGCTGAAATTGAAAAAATATGTGTGTTCAAAATTGAGTAAAGTAGAAAACTGAAACTAAAGGTAATCCACCTGAACCATGACATTCATTTCAATTGAAAACGGATCGTTTTAATTTCTTATCTTAAAATGATTTTTTTTTTTTGGAAAAGTACGCTATATCCTAGTGCTGCTAATTCGTCTGGTTACTTTTAGTTTTCTCGGCTGCACATCGCACAGAACTGTAGCGTTGAACCCAGGATTAAGCCGAAGGTTTTCTCCTAAGCTCATGCAACTCGAGCTTACTCCCCTAACTCCGAGATACAGTAATAATAACACAAAATGTTACTCTAAGTAATACATAGAAAGACCTAAACACTGACTAAATGCAAAAACGAAACAAAAATTTTAATCCCATGGTTTATCGCTAATCGGCCTTTTAAGAACCAAGCCCAGCCTTAATTATAAAATCGGCGTTGCCTACCCTACTAAGCGATGTATACTTACTCTGTTCATGTTGATGTATTATGGTCCTGTTAAAAACTGACGCTACGAGGAAAGCCGTTACGCTGTCGTCAAGTTTTGTTCTGCAAGGGAAGCTTAATGTCCACAACCACTTAACAGTTCCTTTTTTATGGATGCAAACAACAGGTGGGTAGTAAAAGGCCTAAGGCAAATTACATTTCCTCCGGCTTCTTTTTCTTGTGGAGAAAATCGTTTCAGCAAATAATATGATTAGTCAAAGACCAAAAAAAAAACAAGGCACACGCTCATTTTGTAAAGAAAGGATCTATTCTTGTTGTTTAATTGTTCAATTCTGCTTTCGCTGATTGAGATATAAAAAGCCAATATAGAAATCCTTTATTCTTTAGACTTAACTTTTCTAAGCCGTAGGCGGCCTGTTGAATTATTGAGCGTAAACTTATTTGTCAGGTCATAATTGTATTTAGTCTTCAAGTTGTAATTAGTCAACCTGTAAGAGGCCGTTATGTGAAGCTTTTGAAAGTAATTAATGTTTTAAAATAAGCTTACGTTTCCACCAATAGCCATTTAGAAATGATTGTTGTGCTCTGTAATTTGACTCGTTGAGTTATTATGCAATCTGTGTTGGTTCACTTGCTTTAGCCTCCCACGCAAGCGTTTTTTAATAGGGGAGCTTGTATTTCGTCCCTCCCCACAAACGGCTGCTCAACCGGAAACAACATTCCTTTCCCATTGTTTTATTCGCGTGGTAAGTGACCAATCAACAGTTGTGAAATAAAGTGTCGACAGGCTAAACACGACTCATAACCACGTGGTAATGTAAAAACGTGACCCTAGAGTTACCTTTTTCCTTCTTTTCTTTCTTACGCTAAGGTTATGCAGTGCACGAAGTATTCTAAAATCTGACTAAATCTTACTTTTGCTGCTCTGAGTCTAACATTTTTTAGAGGTTGTAAAGCTTTCCCAGTGTTTCATGCAGATCGATCGAGTAATTATCGGGTTACCCTGCGGTCAAGGTCAACTTTCCAGAATTTGGAAAGTACGATGTGATTGGCTAAGCTTTGGAAAGGAATGTTGTTCTCGGTTGAGCAGGCGATTGTGGGGAGGGACGATACACGAGTTCTACTAAAAACGCTTGCGTGGGAGGCTACACTAGCTTAGGCTTAAATACGAGTGCTTTGTAGGAGTTTCTTTGGTTACATCGTGGTTGCATCTATGACGTCAGAGGGTAACAGTGCACTATTACCCGCGAATGTTGACCGACGGCCGTCGATACAGTGAGGTTTAATGAATTTCCAGCCTCAAAATTTCCAGCTATATAACGAATCACTTAAAGACTGGTCCTTCGGGAAACAGTCAATTTTGTTTCCCTCGGGACCAGTCATTAAGTGTTTAATGTTCTATCGGTCAGTTACCAGCCTCCCCCTCAGGCGCTTCGTTTTTTACACAGAGGCGACTGCGAAACGCGAGTGACATACCAGTGACTGGTGACGAAGCGGAAGGGACCATGGACCATTAAAGAGTGTTTAACGTAACATATGTCGTAACCGGAACGAGAAAAAATGTCTCCGTTTTGTTATTTTTGGTGAAAGTCAACTATCAGCCTTTGCCATTCATAATAACGGATCATGATTTAACAAGAACGAGTAAAAAATCTTTGAACTCTGGCTGGTACCGTATATGCGTATATGCGAAAGTGTGTGAACTAAACAACATGAAGAGTTATTTGTGATTCGATCTCAAAATTATCTGAATCCTTCCTTAAATTATGCATGATTTAAAAGCTGTATTTATGTCAAAAGAGTCAAATGATTGAGTTAAACCGGGATTTAATGCACCTATAACTGACCTTTCGCCCCATAGTACCAACATTTAGGGCCTCTTGTATGTTAATATTGTCGCTTTGTTCATGTGGGTAGTAACATACATAAACGGAATGACCTTTAAGTTCATGTTACGTTTCTGAAACGACTTTATATTAGTAATTAGTTTTTTAACCATCCGAAAGTAACGACTACCCGCCGAAAGTAACGGCTACCCTAAAGTAGCGGCCCCCTTTACCTGCTAGATTCGAAAGTAACGGAGGCCGTTACTTTCGGAATTCTACGGTAATACAGCTGTGGGGGTATTTTTTCCAAATCTTTGTTAATGACGATTTAGTTCATGCCCAAACTGAGGAGGTACTGACCTTGAAAACCATATCGGGCCACCTTAATTAAGTAAGAACCATGTGATTTTTAAAGACAAAATCTTATTTGTCCTTGGCTATTCATTTCAGTCAATGATCGAATCATTGCGCGTTGGACAAATAACCTTTATTATCCTGGCAAGGTTTCGGCAACCGGAAATGGACTGATACATGTTTTGTTCGATGACGGAGACAGGATCACTCACACCGTCCGGGATATTTCAGCAGTAATTCCTGATCAACAACCCAGTCGCGTGAAATTAGGGCAACATGTGGTTGCCACGTGGAAAGGGGGTCATAAATACTACATAGGATATGTGTCTCAAATAGTTTCTGGCTCCCGGCCCTTCAAGGTTACCTTTGATGACAACGATGAAGATTACTACCAGGCACATCAGCTGAGGAAATTTCCGGATCATCAGACAGCTCATGAGGGTAAGGGGAGAGGCAAGGTTTAAGAATATTGTTGGGTTAAAAAACCGCTGAATTTTGTCAGTTTTCCCTTCAACTGAGCAGCACAGAAAATGACTGAAAGGTGAAGGAAAAGCCGTCTGATTTTACGGCCATCTTGACTTGAGTGTTAACCCTTTTCGGAAAGCCGGCGAGTAGCGAAAAAAACCTTATTTTTCACCAATTCCTCTTTTTTGGACTGGTTTTCGGCTAATTAGCATAGGAATGGCTAAAAAGAGTTTTGCAAGAAAAAAGGCATATTTTCCGACTAACCCGACGTAATTAAACAGCTTTTTTGTTGTTCACGCATGCGCAAAAGCCAAAATTTGGACTTTTTTCCGACTCTATTTCCATCTTTCTCTCTCGCTCTCTTTTTTCCTTCTTTTTCTTCTTTATTGGTAGTTTTGATGCTCGCTTTATCTTCCTTCTTTTGCATGGAATTGTGGCTGGCTAACTTTTTAGGGAAGGGACAAATTTAATTTTCAAAGAGTAGTATGTAAGCAGCGAAATTGGCAGTGGATTTTCCTCAAAATGTTACCTCTTTTGTGCGCGTAACTCTGTCAGGATTGGTCAGAATATCCAAAACGAGGTATCACTGGAAAGATATATCTCAGCTGACATTGTTGCTTACCAATTTATTAACTTAAACTGAAAGCTAAATGTATTCAGGGAGGAATGTATTAATATCGTTCCATATGGGTCGTATTCGACCCTAGCCTTCCGAAAAGGATTTAAAGGAGCTGTGTCACGTATTTTTTTTCAAACAGTGGAAACCGTCACCAGATGGAGTCAAACATTTAAATAAACTGTTCAAAACATGAAAAGAAGGTATAAATAACACGGCAAATACAAAAGAAGGCACAGATCGACAATTTTGAAGAAGATTGAAACGGACTGCAATTCTGGTTTTTCGGAAAACTTGTTAGCATAACAGTAATTTTTGTTGTTTGTAATCTATTGTCTCAAGTTCCATGACAAAAAAGAGGCGTTGTTGGCATTGATTATTATAAACAAATGAACTAGACAGCCGTGTCACAGCCCCTTTCACAACTGGACTGACGACTGGAGTATTGAATAAGAAGGTCGTACCGGGGTCACGGTTTTCGTGATACGTGATTACCTATTTTTATTTTTCGTGAATCGTGAATTCCTCCTTGACCAAATGGTTGTCCTTGCCCAGAGATAAACTCGAATTAATAATCTATCTTCGTAATTTTATTACTTAATATTTTCCCTCAGTGAGTTTCAGTTTCGAGACCCCCGAAAGGTAAATAAACACTATGAAAGCATCAAATGAGAATGATGAATTTTTGTAAGTTCCAGTCTTGCTTTTTTTTTTCGCCACTTTCAAGCTGTTTTTCAGAGACTGCTTTACCACTTTTTTCTTTGCGTAAGAACAAGTTAAAAACAGTACTTTACATGCATAGTGAGGTGAATATTTGCCTTTAAGTTTATTAAGCTGCATACCGACCCAATAAACAGCTGCGCTTCTTATCAAGGTTCTAATTCGATTGCTCTGATACTTTCAGTCGGCGCCAGAGTGTTTGCTCGCTGGACAAATGGTCTTTACTATCGTGGATTTGTTGCACGGGCAAACTCTTCGACTGTCTTTATCAGATACGATGATGGAGATACCATCACCCTTTACAAGATAGACCGCACGGCAGTGATCCTTGATAAACTTCCATGTTACTCTCATATCAAGCCTGGGCAGCGCGTCATTGGTTTTTGGCCGGGGAGGACACGGTACTACCCTGGTGTGGTGACCTACAAAAGACCAACAGGCCTTGCCAATTGCTATCAGAAGGCTGTATACTACGTGGTTTTTGATGATGGAGATCGGCGAATGCAGGATTTTAATCAGATCCGCATCATTCCATGCATGACTACGGAAACATATACCAATCAATCAGGGTAATGTTATAAAGAAAGTCTTTGAAAATAAAACTTGGACATCAGTGTATTCATGAAAATATTAGAAATAATACTCTAGTTTTGTTATGTACCTAATCATTAGATAATAAGTGTGATTGGCTTGTAATCATGGTTTTTGTATTTGCTGTAATAAAACATCAGTTATTTACGTAGGTTTTTCATGATTTGACGTAATAAGGCCATGCCACAGGTATACCCCGAACTCGCGAATCGTTGTTGTTTCACAGAAATATTACAAAAATTAGGGTTTGTATGGGGATATTAGCTATCGTTATTTAGGGGTAAGAAATAGCATTAAAAATACATTAAAACTTCTTACGGTTGTCTCCATGTTTTATTCATGGTGTTCTTAGCATTTCTGGCCGTCTCAGCGCGATCCTAACGAGTTTTAGTACTGCCGTTGCTCTGAGGTTTCGGTTCCAACAGCAGTTAACGTACAGCTGAATGTAACAACTGTTGGAAATATAACCTTATGAAATGGCCCCAAATCGACCCGAAACCTATGAAAAACACAAAACATCAAACAAATTACTAGAAGATGGTCTCCATGGGGTTAACCATAAGCGTAAAACGGCCTAAAATTTAGTCGATAGCCTTAAAAATTGAAAAATTCCAACCGTTAGCAGTAAAAAGGGTAAAAAGAGTTAACCGTAAAAAAAATTTTCCCTAGGTTTGTTAATTTTAAAGAAGGTGCTACACTCAGTTTTGACTGAGGCTGCGCGTTTCTAATTTCGCGGCTACTTTGACTCTGTACCACGTTAGGCCAAGCACCTTTTCAGGCGTTTGAAAGGGAACGGGAAGGAGATTCCGGGCGCACGAGAAGCGCGAAAGGCGCGCGGTGTCGCGCCCAAATTTCCTTCCCCTTCCCTTTCGAACGCCTGCCACGCTAGTCCCCTACGCAGGCCTTTTTAGGGGAGCTCGTATTTCTTTCCTCCCTTAAAACGAGCTCCCCTAAAAACGCCTGCGTAGGAGGCTACTGCCACGCAGTTATAGCCAGCCTCCCACGCAGACGTTCTTTCGGCTCGTCACGCAATCCTCCCCAACGTAGGGAAGGAACGAACGACGAAGCCCTAAGGGACCGACCATTTGACTTTTGAGGGGGGAGGGGGTTATGGGTGATTTCAGAAAAAAATGTATAACCAAGATACTGCCACGTTTGCTAAGCCTGAAAAAGGCCTCCTGAAAATTTCGGTATAAAGAGAATCCGTCTCCTAGAAATATCTTATGAAAGTACAGCTACTCCATTTCCTCCAACTTTCATTCGGAGCCATCTGACAGGGTAGCTAACAGTTTCGTATGAGACGAAAAAAACTAAAACTTTTCCAGACCACTAAAGTTCCCCTAAGACATCCGAAAAGACGAATATTTCTTAGGGCAGCTCCAAATTAACCAAACAGACTTTTAAAGCATAGAGAAAACCTTTTACATATCTCGATACATTGGGTCTTTGGGTGCCATCACGACCCTCTGTAATTACGTACCGTTACCGAGATCAATAGACTCGGGCTTGGGCTACCTGTGGTACGCAGCAATCAATTAAAAGACATTTGATCTTGACCTATAAAAGCTATTAATCAGGATAAACATATATTAAGTTTTGAGGATAAGTTGTATTGGCATAGTACATAATCGACAGGGTGGCAAAAGGAAGTACCTATCACGCATCAAGGTGACTTTTTTCAGGCCACCACGCACGTCTCTGTGAGGGAGACAATAAGTATTCGTTAACACTGTAATATCTCAACCCATTGAATGATTCAGCTCTCATAAATGTTTTCAGCGTCTTTTTTGGTAGAATTGCGCCCTAACGGTTAATTGAATGACCTTAATTTTACAAAAGGGTTCTCTGAAATCTGGTGTTGTTCAAATATCAACGATTTTATCCATTATTTTCTGGTGTGAGAATAGATAGCCTGTGCCGGGCTCTCGTTCAGTGTAGATGAGCGAAAAAAGCAAACGAGAAGTGAAAAAAGCGACTAAGCAGCGAAAAAGCGAGCGAAAAACGGCGGTTTTTCGCACTATTTTTTTTTTTTTGCCATCCGTTTAGCTATTGAGCAGGAACAGGCTAGAGAATAGAGGTTATAATATGATTTTGACAGGAGACCAGGCGAGCTTGAGGAACTAGAAAAAGAACCAGAAAATGATGTCATGACTGTAATATCTCCTTCTGGTTTTCACCAATCACGGAAATCCACGCGTCACGCTTTATGGAAACAGTAAATCACGCACCTCCCCACTATGCCCAATCACGCCTCAAGCTTCTAATTTGGGCCCGATCACGAAACACCCTCTGATAATTTAGAACCCATCGCGCGTCACGGAAAACCCCTTTGCCACGCTGAATCGACAATTAAATTGTCTTGCGTGGCTGATTTCAATTCAAGCCCGGATTTTCATGTCGATTTGAACAATTTAGTTCAACTTTATGGAGAAAATTTTAAGGAATATCTTTTGTTGCTTCCGTCTACGCGTTAAACGGGATCTTATACAACAGATGTGAAATCGTGAGAGTCTTCATGAACAAGCAATCAAAAGACTAGCAGACGATCCCATACAGACAAGGTAACAGACTGGAAAACGCAAACCTGGCCAGCTATTGCTGCTAATTTTGAAGATAAGAACTAACGTTAGATTTTATGATAAGTAGGTTGGGGAGCAAAAGTGAAACAAAATATCTGTAAACTTGATATTTACTCCACATTTACGCCACCCTTGCAGAAAAGTAAACTTTCACTTTCGAACAAAATTTGTACCAAGAACAAATAAGTAGCAACATTAGTACCCTAAATTTACAATAGATTTGCTCAACTAGCAAACTTAGGCAAATCCGTTTTTTCGTCCAGTGTAATAGCCATGGATGTACGAAAGGCTTTGTTCCTCGCGCGTGCGCAGACTACGCGGCGCCATCTTTAAAACTTCACTTCTTTGACCGCGGCAGGATTAGCTCAGTCGGTACAGCGCTTGACTACACTCTTTTCAGTTCCTATAAGAATCTGTTTTATAAGAATATCGTGGCTGAAATTTGCGGAATTTTTAGTATAAACCTGAGAGCTGAGAGTTTGAAAAGGACTCTATTAAATTTGTGTTTGAAAATCTGACAGTGTAGATACAGTACGTACAGTTTATGTTAGTAACTTAACCGAAGAAAATTATTCCTTTCACTAGACGCAAAAACACTAGATATTGAAAACCCAAATACATTTCAAACATAAAGGCCATAAGCTATGATTTATAATCAAGACTACTTCGAGAATATTTTCAGCCTAAAATCGTCAGAAAAATAAGGACATTCAGCCTGGGCCGCAAAGAACAACATTCTTAAATTCAAAATAGAGTGTATAGAGCGAGAGGTCGTGGGTTCGATTCCCGGAGCCCGACCAATACTCGGGGTCGTACAACGACTGGGTCGGAAGTTAGCTGAGTAAACAAGCAGACAATACGACGACAAATAATGAAGCTTTCTCCGCCAAAAAGGCTACAGGTGGGCGTCTTAGAAGAAATATCATGAAGGTACGATTTTCACACAATTGTGCAATGAACCAGTGGGGAGAAATCCCGAACATAGCTGTGACCAGTCAAAACTAGAACAAGAAAATCTTTCAGGCCCTAAAAAAATTTTAGCCACGCACGTCACCATAGCTTTGACGTTTAGAGATCCCTACCAGTTGTAAAAAGAGAAAACATATTAAATGTGTAAAATACCAGTCTAGAGCGAGGCCCAGTTCTAGTCCAGAACATCCGTTTCTTAAAGCGGTAGGTTCAAGAAAGCCAAGTAACGTTAGAGGCACTTTTGAATGTCACTTCAAGTTGCTGCAATAAAAGTTGAATTTTATGTCACTTTGGAAAGACAAAAAAGCCGAAATTTTCAAGCATAAATGAGTAAATTCACCATTTTCACATAGACCATAATGCACCTTGTTTATCCCGAAAAATTGTGCATAACCACTGTCTTCGATTTCTCCTGGGATGACTTTAATACGCAGGAGAAATTGGAAACAATGGTTACTGTCAATTTTTTTTTTTTTCAGTGGTCCATGTGAAAGGGGTGAATTTCCCTTTTTACTGGCCTTTCTTCTTGGTTGAGTTAACTTCATCATTAACGATACATAAATTAAAGAAATCATGAAATACTCCGTCATGGACTAAACGGATAAATTATTAATTTGAAAACTTGAGAACGTCCCGGTCCTTGTCTGAAAGAAATATCGAGAAGAAACATTTAAGCTCGGAGAAGTATTACTTTTCTCTCACAGCATAAACAACTTTTGCCCGACCCTAAAAACAAGATCTTTGTGCTGTAGGCAAAAAATATCGTACGAAAGCTTTGAAGCCAGTGCAACTATAAAGGAAAGGCCATCGATCAACCTTCACTCAAGGCAGGTACATTTCATCGCGCGGATTAATTAATAAGCCGGTTTTAATGTTCATTCAAAATATTTCGCTGTTTCTGTTTGGCTTTAATCGCCCGACTCATAGCTTCATAGCCAGCTAGTGAGGTCGACCAAATTTTGAATTGATACAAGCAATAAGCTATCGATGGTGTATTAACACCAAGATACAATGGCAACCACGTTTGCCTCGTTCCCAGCAGCAGCGCAGCGGCCTACGTAGCTATTTTGGTATGAGTGCACTCAGAAAATGGCGAAAGATTTCACGGCTATCTTAGACGAAATAACCGATTTACTGACTTAAAGCGAGGTTCTTGTTGCTATAGGCGAATCTTTGTTTACATTTTTTGCCTCATTAACATATGCTCATCATTATCTGATGAAACTAATAAATTAAAACCTCTGAATATATTGAAACAGCATAACAATTTCAGTTATCTCAGAAAAATTGAACCCGATGTACCGAATGGTTTCGGAGAGACACAATTTTAAAAACTCAAAATTTTACAAAGAATGTATGGCTCAATTAATTCCTTTGCCACCCAGCAATTTTGAAATTTTCGATAGCTGATGTTTCCTTCAATATTGCTTGGAA